ATGATGCATCGCGCAGGCGCAAGGACAGAACATTTGCGTGAATTAATGGTTCTGAATCGCTAAACACCGCCGGGGGATGAAGACCGCTGGTTGGGGAGGAGTCGCAGGGACATGCGTTAGACGTTCTTACTTCGCATGTTGCTAATGCTAAATCGACTCCCTGCAACTGTTTACCATGGTCAGCAGACCTGCGCGTGTTCCAGTTCTTCTGATCGCCTTGATAGCATGCGATGATAATGATTGTCCGCATGATATAAGCAGCAACTTGCTGATATCATGCTCAGGCCATGATCTGAGGGCAAAAGGATCTGGCACGTATCTGTGCGTTCTCGTTACGAGAGTTCTGGTGCTATCAAGTAACCATGGTTGCAGCCATCAGTCCGTGCTCGTTGCATCCTGGCTAGGACGACGGATGGCGCAGGCGCAAGGACTGGAGCTTTGGTAACATGCGGCCTGCATCTTGCATGGCAACAACGCTTGGGGTCGTGTTTTCTAGTGCCGGTAGCTTGCTCTCGTACGGTTGAGGATGGTGATGACGGGCTGCGAAGGTGGCGCAAGGACTGGTAAAGTTCTTGTCCAGGGCTGCCGAAGGTGCCGGGGATGCGAACCTTTGCGAACCAATGCTGCGAAAAGCTGGTAGCCGCGGATCTTGGGAAGGCTCAGGGTCTTGCCGGGCACGGCATATTGCTGTGGCTTGCCAGGACCGATCAGACTGATCCGGCTTCAGAGGCCTGTGGCGGTCCCTGTCGGCTGCCACAACCGTACGAGTTGTTTCGGAGTGCAGCGGGCATCCAGCGCAAAGCCAAAGCCAAGGCTCAAAAGTCCGCCCAGCCCATTTTGCAGCGACAGGCACCTGGCTGAGGCAGCCCAGTTCCGGGGCGAGCTCCGAGTGAAGTCGAGTAGATGTGCCCGAAGCACGACCTGTCTGCCCCCGGCTTGTGAAGATTGGAAAAAACAAGCAAGGCGTCGTTTTGAACAGCTGCATCGGTGGCGGGGGCCGGGCGCGTGCCATGCGGAGCCTGTCCTGGCGCTTGTGCTGCGCACTAGCTGGCAGCCTCGCGCAGCAGCCACATAGATGTGTGGCCTTTTAAACAAGTTAGACAAGTTCATATTTTGACAGAGAGGTAGCTTCGCATGGAGTGGGAACAGTGGAAGATTGTGGAAGGTCACCGGGGCATAAGGTTGAGAGAGAAGCCAGCTGCAAGTTGAGCAGCCCCACATTCCACTGCTCGCAGTCCAAGTTGTTTCCTTAAAGAGGTGACGGCAGAGGCTACAGTTTTTGGGGATTTCCATCCGGGATTTTGGCACGGCTGAGCTTCACCAGAGCAGACGACGCGCAATACGATCGTCGCCCGCTTTCGGCAAGCCTGTTCGTGCATGGCGCCGATTCGCACAATGTCAGCAGATTGCTTGTCGTGCTCGGTGTCCTTTCGTGTGGTCGGGAGCTATCGCCAGCTTGGGCCACGTGCTTACAAAGATTTATTGGCTGAGTGCATTTCAGGCCTGCAAGATGTCTCGGGCTTCGCAGTACTCTAAGAGCTGGCGGCTTGGCTGCAGCTTTTTTAGGCTCAGAAAGGGCCGCCCGAAGTTCGGATCCGAAGTCCCATCCACAGCGGAGCCGCCATGCGCCTGCGGAGCGCCCTGGGGTTTCTCTCCCTGGCCCTGGCCGTCAGCGAGGCCTCGGCCTCCATCTCCAACTCGTCGAGCTCGTCGAGCGCGTCCA